GCTGGGGTGTGTGATCTGTGTGCTGACACTTCAATCCTTCAGACTCTACCTGATGCTTCCACGTTTTAGAAATGAGGAGAACTCCTTTCCAGAGGGCTGGTCCCAGGGTGCCTTACGTGTGTGTGGGCAAACTAACCCCGGTGATCCCGCTGGCTTTCCCTGCTCGTGTTCTCCGCCAGCCATTCTCTCTCCATTCCTACAATTCCTTTGGTCCGACCCTCTAATTCCCCATCTCAGCTGAAAACTCTCTCTTTTTTTTTTTTTTTTTTTTACAATTCCTTTGGTCCGACCCTCTAATTCCCCATCTCAGCTGAAAACTCTCTCTTTTTTTTTTTTTTTTTTTAAATTTTTCGGGTTGTTGTTCAGGGAATCGGCGTAAATTCGGACACTCACTTTTCACCTTCCTCCCTTCCCCTCAGCAAGCAGCAGAACTCCTCCAAATCCAAGTCGGTGTGGGAGCAGAGGACCAGCCAGATCCGGATGCACAACTTCCGAGCCAGCTGCGAGGCCCTGTACAACGAGCTGGACCCCGAGGAGCGGGTCCGTTACGCCACCACCCTGCACATCAGGCCGGACATGAAGACCCACCTGGACCGGCCGCTGGTGGTGGAGCCCCGGAGCGAAGGCAGGAACAACATCAACAAGCTGAGCCCCGGGGACGTGCAGGAGGTGCAGGAGCACCCCAAGGGCGGCTCTGCCGACGGGGCAGAAGCTCCGCGGAAGCACCACCGGCACCGGGATAAGGAGAAACAGGCGGAGCAGGAGAAGGGCGACGCGCCCAAGGAGGAGAGCGCGGAGACCGCGGGCGCCAACAAGGAGGAGAGGCACCGGCAGCACCGGAGCCGCAGCAAGGAGGTGGAAGGCGGGAGCAAGGAAGGGAAGAGCGAGCGGAACAGGGGGCAGGAAGGGGGGAAGAGGCACCACCGGCGGGGCTCGGTGGAGGAGTCGGGGGAGAAGGAGCACCGCAGGCACCGCACGCACCGGCACTCCACCGAGCGCCAGGGCAAGGACGGCAACGGCACCGCCAACGGCGCCCGCGGCGAGCGGCGCTCCCGGCACCGCGGAGGGTCCCGCTCCGGCAACAGGGATGGGGAGCCCAAGGGGGAGAACGGAGAGGAACCCCACAGGCGGCACAGGCTCAGGAACAGGGCCCTGTCCACCTACGAGTCGGTGGAGAAGGAGAACGGGGAGAAGGAGGCGGAGGCGGGAGAGAAGGAGCACCGGAACCACCAGCCCAAGTAAGTGGATTTCGTTTGGATACACGCCTTGGGAACTGCTCTGATCCCACCTGGAGCCCTGTGTCTGGCTCTGGGGCCTCCAACACAGGAAGGGCATGGACCTGCTGGAGCGAGTCCAGAGGAGGCCACAAAGATGCTCCAAGGGCTGGAGCCCCTCTGCTCTGGAGCCAGGCTGGGAGAGCTGGGGGGGCTCACCTGGAGAAGAGAAGGATCCAGGGAGAGCTGAGAGCCCCTTGCAGGACCTAAAGGGACTCCAAGAGAACTGGAGAGGGACTTGGGACAAGGGCCTGGTGTGACAAGACAAGAGGAAATGGCTTCCCACTGCCAGAGGGCAGGGATAGATGGGATTTTGGGAAGGTATTTTTTCACAGTGAGGGCGGGGAGGCCCTGGCACAGGTTGCCCAGAGAAACTGTGGCTGCTCCATCCCTGGAAGTGTTTAAGGCCAGGTTGGACAGGACAGATCACCCCTTGGATGGCTCAGGGGCCACAAAACCTCAAATGTATTTCAGAAAATTCCTTATTCCCCTTCCCATGGCATTCCCTGTGGTCCTTGTGCTCACCCCACCCTCCACCATAACCTGCAGTCCTGTTTTACTCCCAAAGCTGACCTCTGTCCATAGGAACCAGGTTTTAAGGAAGGAAACATCCTTGATGCAAATACCCACAGACCCTCTAGGACATAACACAGAGCAGAGAATTTTACAGCCTCTGAAAGAACTTTCTGAGGGACGTTTTTTAAAATTCCCTTTTTTTTAATGCTGAGCCCTGTCAGCTGCACCACCAGTTGTTCCAGCACGTGGCTCCTTCCATCGAGAACAACCATGTCTCCCATTTGGTTTAATTCTTATGTAAGTCAAGTGAGAAAAATAGCACTGGTGGAGCATTTGGAGTAGTTAATAAAGAAGGATAGATTGCCTTTTCAGCTCTATTAGTCCAATGGAAAAGAAATTGCACTGGGATTCTTTAGAATAGAGCTCATGTCACCATGGAGAGCTGTGAGTGGCACTGAGATAATAATTTTCCTGTCTATATTATCTTGCTTTCAGATGAATTTCAAAACACTCTGCGTGCTGTTTAGTTTGCTCGTGTGCACAGGCTCCCTTTCCAGCTCACTGGAGTGGAGCTGCTGCTGCAGAGGAAAGCAGGAGCTCTTTAGCTGCTGACAGCAACGTTACAGAGCAGTTCAGGAGTGCCAGGGAGAATCACCACGTTTAAATAAGGCCTCAGGAGAGCATGAGGAAGCAGAATGTCAGCCCTCATTCAGCAGCCAGCTGATGTGGGGAGTTAATATCACTGCTCCACGCCAGGGCCACTTGGGCCTTGTGAACCTCAGTTATGGGGCTCATTAAACAGAATAAAGGGACACTCAGAGGCACAGTCCAGCTTAATGTTGTGCTTGGATGTTGGCCCAGGAGGTCTCAGAGGGAAAGGTCCCGTCCTGTGCTATCAGTGAGTTGTGTCCTGCAGGCTGTGGCTTTTCTGCAAAGGGTTTCCATGAAGAGAAGAGTCTGTGAAACCCAGAGGTGAAACCCAACTCTAACCCTAACCCAGAGATTTCAGAGGTGAAACCCTAAACCCATCCCTAACCCTAACCCAGAGGTTTCAGAGGTGAAACCCTAACCCCAACCCTAACCCCAACCCTAACCCAGAGGTTTCACAGAGGAGAAACCCTAAACCCATCCGTAACCCCAACTCTAACCCCAAGCCAGAGGTTTCACAGAGGTGAAACTCTAACCCCAACCCTAACCCCAACCCTAACCCTAATCCAGAGGTTTCAGAGGTGAAACCTCAACCCTAACTCTAACCCAGAGGTTTCACAGAGGTGAAACCCTAACCTCAACCCTAACCCTAACCCAGAGGTTTCACAGAGGTGAAACCCTAACCCCAACCCTAAACCCAACCCTAACCCCAACATAACCCCAGCCCTAACCCCAACCCTAACCTCAACCCACAGTTTTCAGAGAGATGAAACCCTAAATCCAAGCCAGAGGTTTCAGAGGTTAAACCCTAACCCCAACCCTAACCCCAACTCTAACCCTAACCCAGAGGTTTCAGAGGTGAAACCCTAACCCCAACCCTAACCCCAACCCTAACCCCAACCCTAACCCCAAGCCAGAGGTTTCACAGAGGTGAAACCCTAAACCCAACCCTAACCCCAACCCTAACCCCAAGCCAGAGGTTTCAGAGGTGAAACCCTAACCCCAACCCTAAATCCAACCCAGAGGTTTCAGAGGTTAAACCCTAACCGCAACCCTAACCCCAACCCAGAGGTGTCACAGAGGTGCAGGGTCACATACACGTGTTCTCTGAATCCTTCTTTACCATATTTACCAACCCCTGCTCCTCTGCCTCAGGGAGAACCAGGTTGAGCTGGAGGCCAGTGGCAGTGTGAGTGTCCCCGTGCACACCCTGCCCAGCACGTACCTGCAGAAGGTGCCCGAGCAGCCCGAGGACGCCGACAACCAGAAGAACGTGACGAGGATGATCCAACCCCCCCTGGACAAAACCACCACTGTGAACATCCCCGTCACCATCACGGCCCCCCCGGGGGAGACCACTGTCATACCAAGTGAGTGCCTTGCTCTCCAGGCTTCTTCTGCCAGGGAATTGCCAGGAAAGAGCCAACTTGTCGAGGAGGGGGCAGCACACACTGGGTCAGGTGGGGGCTCTCCTGGCCACCAGCATCCTCATAAGAGGCAGACAGGAGAACCTGTTGATACAGGATCTATGATTCAGGCAGCCTGCTGGAACTCAAGGAGTGTTCCTGGGTCAGCTACTGGCTCTCCTGGCCACCAGCATCCTCACAGATGCAGACAGGAAAACCTGTTGATAAAAGATCTATGATTCAGGCAGCCTGCAGGTACCCAAAAATGGGTTCCTGGGTCAGCTGGTGGCTCTCCTGGCCACCAGCATCCTCACAGAGGCAGACAGGAGAACCTGTTGATACAGGATCCACATTTCATGCAGCCTGTGGGTACCCAAAAATGGGTTTCTGGAAAGCACCCCGTGAGGTTCCCTGGAGATGGCTCCCCCAGAGCACATCCTGGTTCTGCAAAAGAGAAAGATGAAGGAACAAGAAAACCAGCAAATATAGTAACTGAGGGCTGGGCAGGAAAATCAGCAGCTGGTGCAGCAAAGCAGCCCCAGCCTGAGGTGAGCACAGGAGCAGCTCTTCTGCTTTATCCCCTTCCTCCTACTCCAGCAGGGATGGGCTGTGGTTCCTCTGGCATCCTGGGGGCTGAGCAGCCACAGGCCCCTCAGCAAAGGCCAGGGGAGGTGGTGGTGTTGCATTCAGGCCCTCAGGATGGATTCCCACCTCTTGGCTCGCTCACTGTGGAGCAGCAGGTCCTCGTGGCCTCACAGCCACCACAGCACCCTTGGTGGTCCCACTGCTCTGGGTTCCTGCAGGCTGGGCCAGTCCTGAGCTTTCTGCAACCCTCTGCACCTCAGTTTGAGTAGATCCCCTCTGACTGAGCCTGTCCTGCTCCCCAGCTCTTTGCCTTGGGTCTGTCAGTGCAGATTTAGTTTTCCAGTTGGCCCCAAGACCGTTGTGCCCGTGATGTGCCCTGAAGCCCCCCAGCCACCAGCTTGGGGCTGATCCCTGGCAGAGCAGGAACAACCTGGAGAACTCTTGAGAGTAGGGATGCCAAGGAAAATTGCAGTGTGAACTCCAAGAGGTCCTGAACTCCTTCAGGCTGTCAGGACTCCGCTTTCCAAGAGGCACAGCCAAAAGCAGGGGCTCTGTGAGCTTTTTCTCTGTGTTGTCAACCACAAGACTTTTCTTTTTTTTTTTTTTTCCTTCTTCTTTCTCCTTTTTTTTCCCTCTTAAATGATAATTTTACTATATTGCAATGCTGACTTCCTGCCAATCACAGTTTATCTGTCCTGCCCATTTCCTCACTATCTGGCTGGAGATACAATAAGGAGTTTATTGAACATGTCACTCACACACAAGGAACTGTCATTTCCTTGCAGAATAAAATAAAAAGTGATAAAAGCCCTGCACCTGGCACATTCTAAGGGAGTTGAGGTTGTGGACTCCAGGTTCTGGCAGTTAATGGATGAGTCTCAATATCTGCCTAAGAAGAGTATTTACAGAATAAAACATGTTTCAGTTCATATATTGGAAATGATCTTCAGTAAATTATCCTACAAACCCACTGCAAGTCAACTTAGGATGAAAATTGAAAAGTTTTCAACCTCTGGGAGTGAGGTTTGGAACAATCTTGGAGAAGTTAAAAAGTCTGATGAGAGGTGGAGCTCGGCACCTTTACGCAGCTCTGACAAAACTGAGCTGCACGAGGCAGGCACAGATCAGGGGCTGCAGGAAGCCCCTTCCAGGTCTCTTTTCCTAAAGCTGGGAAGTTCAGCAGTTTTAGCCCCAAAATTATTAAATCTCATCTATGAATTTGCACTTCTGCCCCCTCCAAAGCCAACCTTGCTCCTGATCTAGGGCAGAAGACACAGGATTAGGAGGCTGCTCAGCCATCCTGCCTTTTGTTCTCTTCCCAAGGATCCCTCACTGATCCTCTCTCCCTAATAATCTGTGCTGTTTGAAAAGGGTTTTCCATCCCCACTTTGGCAGCTCTTGGATGAATAAGTGCCTGGTTTCTTTGTGTGTCTGCACTGAGCAGCTTCATTTCCTGCCTGCTTGTGATCCACTGCTCATCAGCACAGCAGTTGTGGGGCAGAACTGTGTGTAAGTGGCAGGGATAATAATCAAATGATTGTTCATCACGTTTAATCAACACATCCAAAGGCTGTTTGCTCTCCCAGCTGCGCTGTTTGCATATCCAGCTGTTGCAAGAGCCTCCTGTGGGGACACTGGGGATGCAATTTTAACTCTCTCCTTTCTCTCCCCTCGAATTCCCATCTCAGTGAACAACGTGGAGTTTGAAAGCAAAACAGAGGAGAAGAAAGACGTTGATGACCTGACGAAAAATGGGCCTAAAGCAATCCTGCCTTACAGCTCCATGTTCATCCTGAGCCCCACAAACCCGTAAGTCCTTCTAGCTCTGCTTTTGGCTGGCAGGAACTGGTTATTCAGAGCAATCACATCACTTTTATCTCCATCTCTGCCAGTCAAACACATTTGGATATTGAATAATATCAAATATGTGGGCTGGATGCTGCTGTTCAGCTGGGCTTTCCTGGGGTATAAACTGCCAGGGGAAAAGAAACAGAAATAAAAATAAATATTAAAAAATAAATATAAAAAATAAATATAAAAAATAAATATTAATAAACTGGGAAAAGAGGATGCTTTAGGCAGATCCAAACCACCCTGCTGACCCTCAGGTGGGCAGTTTGTTCACCTAAATCACTAAAGGGTGGGAATTTGGGCTATTGCTGGGAAAAGGTATCAGGAGTAGCATGTTGGGGAGGTTGGTTTTGACAGCAAATTCTTGCAGGTTCCTCAGCTGGAATTCCCTGTTCTTTCCATACTGGTACCTTCACATCAGTGCAAACTCTGAACCTGTGGGAGAACATGCCTGTTTTTCCTGTGCCCAGGCTGAGGGTGCAGCTGGTGGGATCTGTTGGGATTCCGGCATTCCTTCCGCTCCGGGCAGCTCTGCCTCGTGGGGAGCTTCGTGCTCAGGGCCTGTAAACACTGCCTGTGTCACTCTGGGGGGCTGCAGGACCAGGGGGGAGCAGCAGGGCTTGTAATAATCATAGCATGAAGGGCTGTGAGTCATTTTTAGGGCGTTTGAAGCTTCTGCCAAGCCGGAGATCTCCGGGGAGCAGAGGTGGTTGTTGCCCTCCGGCTCAGGTAGACTCGGTGTAGAGCCTGGAGTTTCTCCCTGAGGTTTATGCTCAGATACCAAAGGAGAACTCAGACCTTTTTTTGGCAGCTTGATCTGAGAGAAGAATGAGTTCTCCTGCACCTGCTGCTCCTCAGGACAGTGCCAGCCTGGCTGTCTGTGCCGTCAGTGGGACAAAACGAGCTCAGATGTGATGTCAGAGAAGCATCTGTGGTGGGAGCCATGGTCAGGCCCCCCTGGACACTGGGCAGGCTGAATAAAATCATAGAATCACAGAATCACAGAATCAGAGAATCACACAATATCCTGAGCTGGAGGGACCCACCAGGATCATCAATCCAACCCCTGGCCCTGCACAGACCCCCCAACAACCCCCCCTGTGTCCCTCAGAGCGTTGTCCAAACCCTCCTGGAGCTCTGGCAGCCTTGGGGCCATGCCCACTGCCCTGGGGAGCCAAATTAGGATTATGAAGCTTGTCTGGTTGGATAAGGACATAGTATTTCCCTAATATTTGGTAGCTCAAGCCTTTTTGTTGTGGAGTGACCACCAAAACTGAGCTTCAGCTGCAAAATGTCTGCTAAGGCAGCGCTGCTGAGTGGGAAGTGAGATGGTCCTGAGCCCAGAAGGATCTGAGGTGTGGGCTGGGCAGACAGAGAAGCAGCAAGAATTTTTTGTACCATATATCTGCTGATTTCCTCTCACCTCACCCTACAGCTTTGACCTCCTGAGCCCCCAGTCCAGGATGTGCTGTGTTGTTTCAGCTGCCCTGCAGTTTTCTCCCCCAAAAGCTGCACTAAAAGACCACTGAAAGAACCGAAGTTCACCGGGAGAGAAAACGTGTTACAACACAGGGCCAAGGGGGAATCACAAGACAAAGACCAAACTCTAGGAATGTCAGCAACTTGTTATTCCTGCCCTGGGCAAGATGCAGCCCCAGCTGGATGCCCTGAGGTGTTTTGGCTGGTGTTAAGCTCTCCAGAGAGCTCCTTCTGCTTCCCAGGGGCTGATGCTCCACTCTAACTCTGACATCTCCCATCAAAGCCCTGCTGGGGCTGCATGGCCTGGGTGCTGCCAGGGGGCAAAACAGTTCAGGGAAGCAGAAATAAACTGCCTGACTTTCCAAGAGGCACCAGCCTCTCCCAGCAGCCGTGGATGCAAAGTGATTTCTCGAGCACCGCTGGCAGTTTACAAACGCTCCCACGCCCCGCTGCTGGTCGTGAATGATGAAGATCTAAAAATAGGGCCTTGTTATTTCTTTGATGGATTGGGTTTGATGCAAGAATTACGGCTACAAATGTTATTGAAAATGGTGCCTTTCCCTCCTGTGGATTCGTGTAGATGATAATCTACTTGTAGATGATAATCTTCCTCTGTTGGGTTGATAACCAGAGTTCAGGGATCCACAAAAGCACTTTTCTTCAGGTTATTTTCTATCAAATCTGTTTCCCCGGTATTTGTAGCTCTTTTTTCATTCTGAATCCATTAGCAGTCCAAAGAGAAGGAATGTGTAAGTAGATGTGAAAAAAACAGACTTTAATTCTGACTCTTCAGATATTTGCTTAGAGAAAATGGGATGTAGCAACTGAAAGACGTTCTCAGATAAAGTTGTTGGGGAGTTAAATATATGATTTGATTCCCAGGCAGAACCCAAGTCCTTTATTCATCTGACAAATATGGTGCAAATGTAGAGCTCTGTGTGCAGTTAAGGATTTGTGAAGTGTGGTCAGATAGAGCCATTAGCTGAAATCTGTGAATAGTTTCAGACTGCTCAGAGATTGAAGCATTTGTCACTTTTCTTGGGCACCATTTGTGAATAAAAAGATTAGGGTAAAGTAATCAAATATATTACTGTAAAGTATTTGTGCAGCTTAGAAAGGGTGTCTTAAAGTGAAGGCAGAGATACTTGGCAAGGGAGAGATTGGAAGGAATAATACTCAGCTACAAAGGCAGTTTCAGCTGAGTCTCCAAGTGCCTGTGTCTCAATTTTAAAGGGATTAGTTGATATTAAAAGGATTTCAAACCTTGTTTTGAACTGGCAGGACATTAACCTGGGGGTTCAGAGGGAGAAGGGTGGGGGAGGAGAGAAACATAATTTGTAGAATCAAGTCTGAAGGCTTGAAAGCTCTCAATGGCCTTTTGACAGATGGAGAGAGAGAGAAATAGGGAGATAAATAGATAAATAGATAGGGAGATAAATACAGAGATAAATAGATAGGGAGATAAATACAGAGATAAACAGAGAGATAAATAGATGTCATTGCTTTGCAGAGAGCGGCGCAGGGATGTTTATATCTGACTTGAAATCTCACCACAGCTCTGTTGCAAACTGGAATTTAAACCCATTGCTCGTGTTTTTTATTGTATTACCATTGCTGTAACAGGAATCCTAAAGCTGGTGTTCCTGAGGAATTTGGAGAATCGAGTCTGAAGGCTTGGAAGCTCCCTTTTGACAGATGGGGAGAGAGATAAATAGATAAATACAGAGATAAATGGTCATTGCCTTGCAGAGAGCGGTGCAGGGATGTTTAAATCTTACTTTAAATCTCACCCCGCAGATTTGTTGCAAAGTAGAATTTAAACCCATTGCTCATGGTTTTTTATTTTATTACCCTTACTGTAGTAGAAATCCTAAAGATCATGCTCCTGAGGGACCCTGTCCTCGTGCCAGCCTCTCATCCCACCGTGCCAAACCTCCCCTGTGCTTGTTTTACCCGCAGGATTCGGCGGCTCTTCCACTACATCGTCAACCTGCGCTACTTCGAGATGGTCATCCTGATAGTCATCGCCCTCAGCAGCATTGCCCTGGCTGCAGAAGACCCTGTCCAAGCTGAGTCACCCAGGAATGATGTGAGTACCAGCCAATGTGGCCAGAATAACCTTGCCCTGCTTCTCCCAGCACGTGGATTGGCACGTTCCCAGCACCGTTCCCATCTCCAGAGGATGACACGGTGCAGAACTAGAGCTGGCTTTGATGGCATCCTCAGATGTCCTTGGGCCACTCTGCAGAGAGGTTGGAGGTCAAGAAAAGGTTCTTCTCCCAGAGGGTGGTTGGGCACTGTGGGGACCAGGGGCAGCACCCAGGGAATGGCTGGAGCTGTGTCAGGGCAGGGTCAGGTTGGATCTCAGGAAAAGGTTCTCCCCCCAGAGGGTGGTTGGCACTGACCAGGCTCCCCAGGGCAGTGGGTACAGCCCCAAGGCTGCCAGAGCTCCAGGAGGGTTTGGATGATCCCCTGGGACACAGGGTAGGACTCTTGGGGATAGTTCTATGCAGGCCAGGAGTTGGACTGGATGGTCCTTGTGAGTCCCTCCCAACTCAGCATATTCTGGGACAAAATACTCACAATTCCTGTCCCTTTCTGCTGCTTCAACCACATCCGAGTTTCAGCACTTGGAAATCACTGATGTGTCTTGTGTGGAGAAGCCTGAAAAGCTGGGACACAATTCAGCAGTGGGAAAGGCTTCCCTGGTCACCAGCCAGGGCTGACACAGAATCAGAGAATCACAGCGTGGTTTGGGCTGGGAAAAGCTTAAAACTCATCCCCTTCCACCCCTTGCCATGGGCAGGGCCACCTTCCACTATCCCAGGTTGCTCCAAGGCCCATCCAACCTGGCCTTGGACACTTCCAGGGATGGGGCATTGTCCTAAGGTCTCCTGCTAGAGCAGAGCCTGAGGAAGTCAAACCAGATATGTGGTTTTTTATCTTGGTGGGGCATGGTAGAAATCTCCAAGAATTCGTAGCAGATCTACTTGTCTGTGGGTGTCAAACCACACTTGTTTGGATTTCTGGAGACAATGCTGTTACAAATGTGAGTGTGACACCTTTGACACGAGGACATGCAGCCCAGGAGAGTTCATGGAGCAGCTGGGTGGCTTATTTCAAACACATTCCCATGAGGACATTGGCACAGAGCTGGCTGTGGTTACATGGACAAGTGGGAGTTGAGAGATCTGAAATTATGTACAGACACTGCAAGGTGAAGCCTAATTTTGGACTCATCAGTGTAGATGGTTGTAGGGTGTGGATATCACGGGATATTTATGGCTTCCAGTTGTGCCAGGGGAGGTCTGGGTCGGATATTAGGAAAAAAAATTCGTCACTGAAAGAGTGGTCAAGCACTGGGACAGGCTGTCCAGGGAAATGGTGGGGTCACCAGCCCTGGAAAGGGTCAAAAAGCAAGGAAATGTGGCACTTTGCAACGTGGGTTATTGGCATGGGGGGGTTTGGTCAAAGGTTGCACTTGATGATCTTGGAGTTCTTTTCCAACCTTGATGATTCTATGATTTCGTATCTGTATTGATTTACTGTCCACCCACTCTGTTCAAATCTGTGATACTCCAAAGAGGTGCATCCCATCCACGGAATTGTGCTCAAATCTAGGAGACCCACAGGCACTGGTGTTGCCTTCCCAGGCTGTGTGCCAAGGAATCTGTGTTCACCCACCCCTGGAACAGACTGAGGAGCTGAACTGCTCCAGAGCAGAGCTCAGCAGGGCAGGAGGTGCCTGGCCTGGCCTCCTGCTCCTGAATCTGGTCAGGATCAGCTCCTTCCAGAGACAGATCCATAATCCCCACATCAATAACGAGCTGAAGGAGCAATCTCTCTTCCTCATCCTTAATAAGTGTAGAATCAGGTTTTCAAGAAGGATTTTATCACTTTCTTACTCTCCTGAGGTCTTTAATAATATTGTGGTCAGCCAGAGAAGATAAACCCAGGGGTTGCTCTTCTGCTGCTGCCCAGGGGCTGGTGAACAAGCTCCCTAGGAAAGGATATTCCAGTATTTCCATGTGAAATACCCTTTTTCCCTGGATAAACCTGCCATAAATGCTGCTGTTTAAGTCAGCTGTTTAAAATCAGATTTAAATTTTGTGCCTAAACTATTTGAAAATCTCCTGTCAGATGATATTTACCTATCAAAGCAAATAAACCATTGCTAGAATAATGTTTTACTACTTGCTCATGTGTTATTTCACTTTGATAATACTGTTCTCAGCTAGAGAACAGAAACCTGAGCTACCACAAAGGGGCTGGTGAACAAGCTCCCTAGGAAAGGATATTCCAGTATTTCCATGTGAAATACCCTTTTTCCCTTGATAAACCTGCCATAAATGCAGGTGCACTGAAGCCACCCTTGGGTGGAGTCTGGCAAGGACTGGGAGAAATGCTGCTGTTTAAGGTAAC